CAACGAAGGTTAATTCCTCGAGGGGGAAAGCTGATGAAAGCTAATAACGTCCTGTTATATAAGCTCTTTAGGGTCAGGTCAGGATGTACTGGGGACTGTCTGGGATGCTGCGGTTTGTGTACCATAAACAGGGTTCGGCTGCTTCTTCATTACATGAAGGTAGGAGTTGGAAGTCATGGAATTCCTGAGGCGATGTCCTGACTTGAGGCCCCCTGGCCCTCAGTTGCCATTTCCTCCCCCTGGTCCAGTTAAAAACTCCTGAATGTGGGAAACAATAGATCTTAAAAGATATTGTTCTGGTTACCTAGTACTGCTCTGACAAGAATATACCACAAATGGGATGGCCTTAACAAACAGGAGTTTATTCTCTTACAGTTTTGAGACTTTAAATCCAAGTTCAAAGTGCCAGGCTCTAGCGGCTGGGTGAAAGCCCCTCAACCTTGGGGTTCAGCTCCACCTCCTGCTCCCAGCTCACTGGAGCTACAGGCATTTCTTCACTCAGACAGCTGCTAGCTGCTGAGGCTGACAAACCCAAGGTTGATGAATAAAAAGGCACAGTCCTGATGTTACCAAACCACAAGGCAGGACATTAAGTCCATTGAAGTCCCAAGGTCGGTAGAGCATAACAGGCTGCTGAACAATGACTAGGCTACATGCAGGGTCCAAGCATGCCATAGGCTAGAGACCAATCCCAAAGGCTTCTCCTTATATATAGGAAGCAGACCACGTTCCAAAGGCAGCTACTCAGCCTCTTGTGGTAGATCCCACCATAGAGTTGACTGCCAGTCTTATCATGGGGAATAACTACCACCAGCTGCCCAGCCACTCAACCAGGCCCAGCCAAGTTGACACACAAACTGAACTACCACAATTCCACCCCTTGTCAACTTGGCATCTGTACCAATCTCCTCCACTGGGTGGCTCTAGTTTCCTAGTTCCTCTAAGTGGTGACCTCACCCTCTTGGCCTGGGGTGGGGGGGGCAGCATTCCTTCCTCTCAGGCATGGTAGCCCCGCCCCCTCACTCTTGCCAGCAGCTATGGCTCCATCCCCCTGACTCACATGAACAAGCGCCCCACACTCCAGAACCAAGTTGGTGAAGGCCTGGCTCTTTGAAACCTAGGGGGCTGTGGTGGTTCCACCCCCAAAAGCCATGGTCCTACCCTTTCAGGCTGAGGCAGCTCTGCTTCTGCTAATTAATGCCAAAACTAACCCACTCCGCTGGAAAACTTCCTGCCCAAAAAGCACTTAGCTTTCTTGCTCCATGGGCCAGCCAACCTGCTACTCCATTTTGTGTCAGTCTCTTCTACCAATTACCGCCTGAAAGCAACCCACTCCACCAGGAAGCTGCCTACCCAATGGCATCCAGCTTTCTCCTCCATGGGCTGGTAAGCCTGTTGCTGTTTAATTCCAGTCTCTGGGCTCTGCTACTACTGTCTTTCATGCTGGTCTCTTTGCCGGTATCTCTCTGCCAGTCTCTTGGCTCTGTCCTGCCATCTCTCATACCATATGCCAGGGTCTCTCTGCCAGGGTCTTGGGTCAAGGACACAATCCACTCCTGTTTCTACATTTTAGGTATCTGTCAGAGCAGTACCCCACTCTCTTGGTACCAAATTCTGTTCTGGTTACCTAGTACTGCTCTGACAAGAATATACCACAAATGGGACGGCCTTAACAAATAGGAGTTTATTCTCTTACAGTTTTGAGGCTTTAAGTCCAAGTTAAAAGTGCCAGGCTCTAGGGGCTCACTGAAAGCCCCTCAACCTTGGGGTCCAGCTCCGCCTCCTGCTCCCAGCTCACTGGGACTAGAAGCATTTCTTCATTCAGACAGCTGCTAGCTGCTGAGGCTGACAAACCCAAGGTTGACAAATAAAAAGGCACAGTCCTGTTACCAAACCACACAGCAGGACATTAACTCCATTGAAGTCCCAAGGTCGGCAGAGCATAACAGGCTGCTGAGCAGTAACATGGCTACATGCAGGGTCCAAGCATGCCACAGGCTAGAGACCACTCCCAAAGGCTTCTTCTTATATACAGGAAGAAGATCACATCCCAAAGGCAGCAACTCAGCTGCTTGTGGTAGATCCCACCATGGAGTTGATTGCCAGTCTCATCACAGGGAGTAACTACAACCAGCAGCTGCCCAGCCACTCAACCAAGCCCAGCCAAGGTGACACAGAAACTGAACTACCACAGATATTGAACCAGTCAAGCCCTGGTGGGAAGCAGAGATGGGGCATGTACTGGATGGAGTACAGTTGCCTATTTCAGAATGGTACTCAAACACCGGCGCTGCCATGGGGCTTAAGGCAGCACATGAGCATGGAAGATGGTGACTTACCCAACAGCTGACGTTACCCCCGGGACAATAGCTTGGTACATGGTGACTAGCCCATTTGAAGACCAGTCCCACCTGTCAGGTTCATGGAAGTAACTTCTAGCCCTTCCCATGTATTCTAGGTCTTTGGGGGTGCTCTAAGGAGAACATCCTTTATGGGTGTTATTGTCTACCTTTTGGGCCTATATTTGGCTGAAAGGATGATCTCTGGGAGTGGCTTCAGTTCCAAGTTAGAAGGGTGTCTTAGGGCTATAGTCTTGGGGTTTCCTCTAAGTCTCTATCAGGCCAGTAAGTTCTTCTTTTTTGTGAATTTGAATTTTTACCCTACATTTTTCTCCTACTCTAACTGGGATCTTCCATTATATCATAAGACTAATTTTAAAGGTTGAGCCCTATGTTTAATATAATGCACTTTAAAAAAGAAGCTAGTGGAAGCAGTTAGCTACTTAGTAAAGTTTCTGAGTATATTGTGCTAGATACAGACACAACAGTGATTTTGTAAAAACTTTGGCACCCAACCCTAGTTAACTTTGTAGATATCCCACTGTAAGATCACAGAATTTACTTTGCAAGTTTCCTGTAGGTCAGTGGTTCTCAAAGTATGGTTGATTCCTGGATAGCACCATTGTTGTTGTTGTTGTTATGTGCCGTCGAGTCGGCCCCGACTCATAGCGACCCCTCCTTGGGTTTCCGAGGCAGTATCACTACGGAAGTAGGATTGCCCAACCTTCCTTCTGAGGAGTGGCTGGTGGGTTTGAACCGCCAGCTGTCTGGTTAGCAGACAAGTGTCTTAGCCACTATGCTACCAGAGCTCCCATTAGCATCTGTAAATCCACCCTAGATCTACAGAAACTTTGGTGCTGGGGCCCACCAATCTATTTTAACCTATTCCCCCAGGTGACTTTTGTCACATGCTAGTGCAAGAACTATTGTTATGTGTAGTTACAGTTTACATTAAGTCAATCTGACTCATGGTGATCGCATGTGCATCAGAGAACTGTGCTCCATAGGGTTTTCAATGGCTGATATTCTGGAAGCAGACTGACCAGGTCTCTCGTAAATACCAAAACCAAACTCACTGCCATAGTCAGATCCAACTCACAGCGACCCCTCCTTGGGTTTCCAAGGTGGTATCGCCACAGAAGTAGATTGCCCAACCTTCCTGATGAGGAGTGGCTGGTGGGTTTGAACTGCCAGCCTTCTAGTTAACAGTCAAATGCCTTAGGCACCATGCCACCAGAGCTCCCCTCGTAAATACAGTAGTTGCTTAAAAATCCTTACTGAGTAATTCTGTGTCCAGCATTCTCATTTATGGGGAGTGGATTCTCTACCTATGGACAGGGCCAAGGCCTACCCTGTACCCCTCTGATGATCTCCAAACACAATGAGGTTCCTTAATTCCACCAACAAATGACTATGTAAGCAAGTCTACATGCTAGAATTTAGATACCAAAACCAAAAAACCAAACTCACTGCTGAGTCAATTCTGACTCACAGCAATTCCTCTTTGGGTTTCTAAAGTATTATCTCTATGGAAGTGGGTTGCCCAGTCTTCCTTCCTAGGAGTGGCTGGTGGGTTTGAACCACCAGCCTTCTGGTTAGCAGTAAAATGCCTTAGGTACTACGCCATCAGAGTGAGCATTTGTTTGTTAATGTGTTCATTTGAAGACACCCCCTATGGTAGTTTGGTTGGCTGTTGTCTTCATGGAAGCAGCTCACCAGGCCTGGTTCTTTCTTGGTACTGCTGGGTGGGCTCGAAGTGACAACTTTTGGGTTAGCAACCAAGTACTTGTGCCACTTTAGTAGCTAAATAGAATATGATGTACCAAAGCTTCTGTTTTAACCCACTCCCAGATCTTGCCTATCACCAATAAAGTTGACCATGGAAGTGGTGATGTAGGATGGCTGCTATACCAGTCTGATTTTTGGCCTCTCCATGTCTCTGGATAACAGAGAAATAGGGAACCAAAAGAAGACTAGATGCTGACCTCATTTAGGACACCTATACTTCACCCAAATAACAATAAAAAGTTTTTTTAAAAAAAGAGACAGACCTATATTTCAATTGGTCTGCAGACAAAGTCCTTCTAGAACTGTCCCCATAACCAGGCACTGCCTTGGTCTGTTTTACCCCAGAACTGGGACCCATGTTCTTACTGTTCCCAGGTGTGGACCCAGTTCAACTCCCACTCATGATCTCTCCCTAGTTCTTTCACAGCAGTCCTGATCATCACCTGGGATGACCTACCCTTCAATACCAATTTTGAACCTGTATGTCTAAAATCAGTCCAAATCAGATTTCCCAGGAGATTAAAAAAAAAAGTTTTATTTCAATCCACAGCTATAACATTCATAGCCTGGCTTGGGGGGCGGGAGTCTATTTAGTTTGTCCTGTCCCCGAGGAGGAGGTAAATTGTAAAGTCATCCTTCACTCCCAGCACAAACCCTCAGAAGCCCCAGATCCTGAACTCCAGACTCCAGATATCAGGATATAATGGTAGGGCTCACTCTGCTCCAAGAAGCTCAACCAACCAGCTCCTGGGAAGGCAAGCCTTCTGCTCCTTTGTCTCTTGCTCACATGAAGCCCTTCTGTCTGACCAGGTGGACAGGTCTCCTGCTGAACCCCAGGAGAATATATCCACCTCTCCATCTGCAGCAGCTACACTAGGTTTCTGACACTCCAGTTTGGACCACTCCTGAGGTAAGTCTCTGGAGATGCTGCTGACGTAGAGGGGGCAACTGAGGATACAGCTCAAAGCCCTCTGGGAGGGCTGAATTGGGAAGCCTATAGTAGAGGATGTGGTGCCGAAGACCCTGTAAAGAGGGAAGAAACTTTATGAAGTGGGTAATTAGAGCCCGCTGAGTATCCAACCCCCAAGACTCTCTAATCTCCCACCCTCCAGGATGTGCCCCTACCTCATCTCCCAGTAGCCAAGTTTTCTGCAGCATGCTCCTGCGAACAGCCTTCATCTCATCCTAGAGGCAGAATAGGAGAGGTGGTGGTGGGTTAAGGGCTAGCACCCATTAATGGCCTTGCTCAGCTTTTACCTCTTCCCAGCAAGCCCAAAGGTAGCTCAGTCTATAGCTCTCTCCCTCCCTCTGGAGATGGGGATGTAACTTACTGAGCTCTTTGGATCCTGGGAAAAGATGAAGCTGTTCACATGGGCTACAGCCACAACATAGAGCACGGGGCACCAGCGTGAGCAGAGTGCACCAGTAACCAGAGCCCGGAAGTAGAGCTGAAGGAGGGCCAGGTTGTCTTCTGGAGGCCCCGTGTAGCATTCAAGGGACACCGGCAACTGTAATGGGAAATGAGACATACTGAGGGTGAGGGCAGGTAGGAATGTATAGGACTGCACAGCAAGGTGGATGGTTGATGGTCATGTGAAACCTAATTCTGAGGACAGAGGTCAGGTCCTGGACAGACACCTATTGCACTCTATCACAAAGATCAAGGTTAAAGACTACAGCGCCAGAAAGCAGGGGAAACTGGGACCTGGGCAATGAGAGAAGCAGCTGTGAATTTCTCCTGCCCATTACTACTTATTTAACCTACTTAAAACTTTCCAAATGCCATGTTCAACTGCTCAATTATATTATCAAACCTTTCAAAAGTTCATGTTCCTTGAATCAGTAATTCTCTTTCTAAAAAGTTATTCTTGATTCCACATAGCAAGTGATTACCAGAGAAATACAAAGTTTATGTCCAATGCAGTTTAACATAGTGTTACTTAAAACAGTGAAAAACTGGAAATAACTTACATGCTTACCAAGGGGTTCTGATAAAATTAATTGGGGCATACCATAAATGAATTGTGGTATAATAAAATAAATGTTAATTTCTTAGAATATTTAGTAAAGTGGGAAATGCTTATGATGTAATGTTAAATGAAAAAAACACATTATACAGTAATGCCAATTTTATAAAAATAATGTATGCACATTAAAAAAGACTGAAAAAAGATAAAATATAAACAATAGTTCCCACTTAGCAGTAGGATTATGGATGATTGTAATCTCTGGTGGCGTAACGCCTAAAGCATCTGACTGCTAACCAGAAGGCTGGCGGTTCAAACCTATCAGCCACTCCCTGGAAGGAAGGTTGGGCAATCTACTTCTGTAGTGATATTGCCTCGGAAACTCAAGGAGGAATCAGACCTGACTCCACGGCAGCGGGTTTGGTTTGGTTTTGGTAATCTGTTTTAATTCCTGAAAATATTTTATATAAACATACTGAACATATTTATGAATTTAAATATTAAAACATTTAAGTTCATCAATTAAGTTACAATAAAAATAAAAAACAAATTTTTTAAAAAAGTAACTTTCTACAGCTTACATGTTTAAACTCCTTAGCCTGATATTTGAAGTCCTTTCAGTCTTGGTTCCAAGTTTTGAAACAGAAATCTCTGTTCTAGCTGCCTTCCTCCCCCTACCCTGTCATGCTCCATCCTGCCTCTGAGCCTTTGCATATGTTATTCCACTGGGAACATCCTTCCTCCTCAACAGTCCAAAATCTATACAACCTTCATTGTCCAAACTTCTTCTACAAAGTCTTCTCCTTGTGGGATGACTGACACTTTGATCTTTCCAGTCTGTGAATCCTGACCTGACAATGAACATTTCAGGACTAAGATGGTTTTCAGTAAATCTCTTATCTGGATTATAGCACTTTATAAGCAAAGAGCCATGCCTTGTTAATAATAATGAACACTTATAATATACCAGATCCTTTCTCATGGCTCCTATTACTTAATCTTCTAAGAGCCCTCAAGAGTACCCTGAGGCCTATCAAAGCACACCACTGCTTAGGAATGCCTCCAGGACTGCCTGATAACATACCCGAGTCAGAGGTAGTCCCAGAGCTCGCAAGGCTCCCATATGTTCCCCAAAGAGGGTGAGGCGCAAGGTCACACTGAACCGACGCTGCAGAGGAAGGAGGACCAGAGCCCCAAAGAGGTGATCTCCAAAAGAGACAGCCTCAAAATGCTCCAGGAAGCTGGCATAGAGGTCAGGGAAAGATGTCAGGCCAGGAAGCGGGCAGTCCAGGTTGAGGTTTGGCAGGACCTGGGGCTGGCAGAGCCGGGCTAGAAGGGCTGCCACCAGATGCTGTATTGGTGTCTCTCGGAATAGCTCACTGTCCACCAGGAACACACACATGAGCCGTGCCAGGAGGGCGGCAGGAGGCACTGCCCAGAGGGCCTGGGGGCGCCAGCTCTCCAGGACTAGTACCCACTGCAGGGCCCGCATGGCTGTGCCCACAGTGTCAGTAGGAGGCAGCCCTGAGCAGCTGTCTAAGGCCTGGTGATAGAGATGGATCAATGGCAGGAAGGGCCAGTCAGTGGGCAATAGCAGCTCTTTGGGCACAGGCAACAGCAAGGCTGGGAGTCGCTGTAGTTCCCCTCGGTACAAGGCCTGAGAGGCCAGCAGGCTGGCTCGGGCTGGTGAACAGTGGGTCAAGTAGTAGCTGCGGATGCTTGGGAGGTCCTGGCAGGCCTGAGCTAGCAGAGCCCCTCGTCCATGTCCAGGGTCCACATGGCTCCCTAGGCACAACTGGTCTGAAAAGTCAGCTGCCTCCGGACCCCCTGACACTCTTTCCCTATAACAGAATCCAAAAGTAAAAAATGATGGTAAGACTCAACACTCAGAAGGCCTTGCCACTCTTCAGGGCTTCCCAGAGGCCCTCAGATACCAATCCTACTACTCCTCACTCTCCTACTAACCTCCCATGCAGTGTGTATAGCAGTTAAAAGAAGGGATACTAGAGCCAGCTGCCTAGGTTCAAGTTTACATAATTCCTCTGTGCCTTAGTTTCCTCATAGTGAAAAGGGGATGATAACAGTACCTATCTCATGTTGTTGTTGTTGTTATGTGCCGTCGAGTTGGCCCTGCTACCAGAGCATATCTCATGCTACAATACACATAAATACCTAAGATGATAGACATAGACTAAGCACTCAATAACTGTCAGCTGCCACATGTATATGGCTATTTTATATGCCATTTTTAGCCATACAGTTACACTGAACTCTCACTTTAAATTTCTAGTGTGGCTAGCTTCATTGTCACTCCACAAAAGAGGAAACTGAAGCTCAGACATGTTAACTGTGATCCATGAAAGAAAGAGAATTAAGCCCAAGTCTCCTGGCTCCAAATTCAGGGCTGATCTGTCAATCACTGCAGCAGCCTACCAAAGGGCTGAATTGCTGCCACCACCCCTAGACTTACGGGAGGAACTCTGGCCGGAATACACAGCTCAGCAGCAGCTCATGGATAAGGTACTCACTTCCGGGCAGCAGCCGGCTCAGCAAGGCCAAGGCCACACCATGATGGAGGGTAGCATTGGTGGCTGGCACTGGTTGGAGTGCTGCCTGTGGATGCAAAAGTGGGGAACTGTTCAGTGGCAGGGAAGGGTGTGAGGGGACAAAGCAGAGAGAAATGAGGCAAGGGCTGTAAGGAAGATGGAAGGGCATGGATCTAGGGTATGTCTGGAGGAAAGTAGAAGCTGCATGGCCTAGCAGAAGCAGCATAAGTTCTAGAAGAACAGAAGGGGGATAATGGAAAGGATGAACAGAGGTGCAAGGGAACCCACTGCTCTCTGAGCCAGGGAGAGTGCCAGGTACTGCAGGTGGTACTCATGCCGCAGGGCCCACGCTGAGAAGGGTGTGAGGTGTGGAGCAGCCACAGGAGCCGTGCACTGGAGGAAGTAGTTCTGGAGTCCCGCAGTATTCAATATGGCAGCCAGCTGAGGAAAAGCAAACTTGTTCAGTTCTAGAAATTGACACAGATCCCTTCTGCCCATCAGGAACACACACATGAGCTATGCCAGGCAGGTGGCACAGCCCCGAAGGCCCACCTCCTGGCCAAACTCAGAGAAATGGGTGCTAGCAGAAGAGGCCTCCCTACCCCACAGGGCAGTCTTCCCCTTACTTTCCAACTCTTGCCATTTTGGTCCCCTGCCTGGCCCCTAACCAGGCACCCAGGGCTTACCTGGCTACAAAGCCCCTTATGGATCCGTGACAGGATGTTGCAGAGAGAGAGGAGGGCAGTGAGGAATGGGAAGGGTGAAGCTGAACCAGCCAGGCTGAGATGGGGGCAGCCTCCTGCACAGCCCAGGGACACAAGGCTGGGGAGAGCTTCTGGCGCCGGAGCACAGGACAGTGGGTTGCAGAGAGGGGAGCAGTGTCTGCGGGCAGAACAGAAAAGCTGCGTGTAGGAGCCTTGGCCTGATGTGTGCCAGGCTGGAAAAGAAACACATGGTTGATCTGTGACCAAGGCAAGCAGGGGCTTGGCTATGTACATCAGTACTCAAATTCCTGGGGCCTGGCACTTAGACCCTTGGAGTGCAGTGCTCTGCAGAATAGGGTTCCTAGTGTGGATCATGCTCTGTGTTGTCACTTGACCTCAGAGACCCGTGACTGCTGCATGCTAAGAACTCAGGTTTCCCTCAGGCTGAGGGGTTCTACTCTGGAATGGACCAGGAAGCTGGACCCAGGAATCCCACAAAGAGAGAAACTGCCCTCCTACCATCACCCACACACACACCCACATCCACACCCAGTACACACCTAAGGGAATCACATAGGCTGCCCAGAATGGGCTGACTCAGCAGGGGCAGCAGCAGCTCCTCCGACAGGCACTCCATATCCTGAAGCCAATCCCCTGGGCACAAACTGGGCTGGAGAACCGAGAGGCTTGTTGAGCTGAAGACCTGGAATACCCATTCTCCCAGACCCTGTGTTCCGAGGTCAACCCCATGATTCAAAGAACCCCAAAGAGTTGGTTTGGAGCGTCTGCTTTCTGACCCTTCTGGAGGGAGAAAAGCCCTGAGTGCTCTGGCACTTGATATCTAAGGACCCTGAGGACAGAAAGGCTATGGGAAGCCTGAGCTGCTACTTGGGGCCCTCTGGTCCCCAACAACATGGCTCCTTGAAGCTCCACGGGGATACTGATATAGAAATAGGAAGTAGGGAGAAGAAGGTGGAGAGTAGGGGAAGGTGGGAATAGGGAAGTGGGAGAGGAATGGTAGGAGTGGAGAGGTACAGACAGAAAGAGAACAAAGAGGGTGGAAGGCAGGGCACATGGAATATGGCGGAAGAATGTAGGCCACACTTACTTGCTGGCTCCAGGCCTGGTAATAGGCACCTAGGAACAGTAGGCACGCAGTGGGCACTGGGCCCAGAGCATTCCACACTTCAAGCTTGGGCAGCAACTTCAAGGTCTGTCTTAGACATAGTTCCACAAGAGGCCGGAGCCCGGATACCTGTGTCCAAGTGATCAAGGAAGGGATGCCCGACAGGCTGGCCTCAGCAGAGTCACTACAGGAGTGCCAAAGGGCCACAGTAAGGATCTGGCTGTGTCATTCCCCTCTAAGCTCCAGCCCCCCTCTTCCTTTAGAGGAACACTCCTGTCTATCTTGGTAGGATTTCCCTGCCGGCAAGCTCAAGGCTGTAAACCTACCTGATGGGCTCATGGGCAGTGCTGCTGGCTGCCAGGGTCAGCTGGGTAAGGAGAGTGAGCAGTGAGGCTATCCGCTGCATGGCCAGGGGTTGAGGGAGCTGGGTGCCGAGTGACTGTGGCACAGCTTGCAGGGCCAGCACCAGCACTGGATATAGCTCCCTAGGGGTGAATGGTTACTGAACCTCATTATATGCAGGCAAATCTAAGCCATAAGGCATGGTCCCACCCCAGGATTTGCACTATAGTTAGGGAACGTCAGGAGGGAGAAAATCCTAAGGGGTGGGCACTCTTAGAAGACTTCGAGAGGCAAGGAAGGCTGGGCCCTGAAATGGAAAGGAGAGTATTTCAAGGCTGCCTCCAAATGGGAATTTCAAGATAGCAATGCCTTTGTGCATGGACTGTGGTTAACCCAGGCTTATTCCACTCTCGCCTGGCTGGTCCTGACCCCAAAGCCCTTCTTATACCTTATTCCCCATTCTTAGCCTCCCTTCTTCCCCATTCTTAGCCTCTCTCTCCAGCAAGGCTGGAGGCATCAGGACAGGCCAGAAGTGCAGGATGGGAAGGGTCTGTAAGGAAGCCTACCCTCTACTTCTTCTCACCTGTAAAGGTCACTGCCGTGGCCATAGGAGGCAGCTACAGCCCACAGACGGAAGGCCTCAGTGCTCAGTGTCTCAGCTTCCTCTGGGGGCAAGGCCAGGTCCTGAGGAGCCTCAGCTATGAAGCGGCATAGGCGGCTCCGAAGGTCAAAATTGCTCAACTGGGGGTAGGCAGAGAGTCTGGGAATCAGGGTCAGCTGGGGTCACAAGTCCAAGTGGCCTCAGGCCCTCTTACTTAGGAGACTGGCTCAACTCATCCCTCACTATTCCAGGCCACTTTGGTGCCAGAGGGTCCTATTTTTGGGTTGGGGTAGGTGAAATTACCTCATCCATCCACCCATCCATGCACCCATGCCTCTCTTTAGCAAGCACTTGCTAGGGATTACTTGGATACATGTGATGAGTGTTCATCTGTATTTGGCTCATTATATTTTTGGCTCTTTAGGTTCTGGGAACAGGGAGCTCTTCCCTCACAAAATGAGATGGTAAGAGCCGGTCACCCCATGTTCATCACAGCATTATCCACAATAGCAAAAAAATGGAAAAAACCTAAATGCCCATCAATGGATGAATGGATAAACAAACTGTGGTACATATATACACAACAGAATATTATAAAATAATAAAGAATTAAAAATGAATTGGCAAAACACCTCATAACATGGATGAACTGAGAGAACATTACACTGTGTGAAACTGCTCAATCACAAAAGGCCAAATACTGTATGAGACCACTACTGTAAAAGTCAAGAAGAAGTTTATACACAGAAAGAAACATTCTTTGATGGTTAGTGGGGTAGAAGGGGAAGGGAGGATGAATCACTAACTAGAGGGTACACACTATTAACCTGGGTGAAAGGAAAGGCAATATACAAAAGGGAGACGTCAGCACAAAATGATCAAGGCACAGGAAGACAGAAGAGTACAAGAATTAAAGGCAACAAAGGTAAATACTAATGCATACACAGTCTCTAATAACAATTTGAGTGAATACACAGGTAGACACGCAAGCTAAACAGGTATGGGAAAGCAAATGGGACTACACCCATGAATATACACAGGTCTGACAGAAATTATTTCTAAATATGTATCTATACCAAACCAAATTCACTGCCATAGAGTCTATTCAATTCATAGCAACCCCTCCTTGGGTTTCCAAGGCAGTATCTCTACAGAAATAGACTGCCCAACCTTCCTTCCCAGGAGTGGCTGGTGGGTTTGAACCACCAGCCTTCTGGTTAGCAGTCAAATGCCTTAGGCACGATGCCACCAGAGCTCCCACATATGTATCTATATGTGCTACAAATATATCCATGTATATAGTAGAGCATACAGGGGGCAAAGTTACAAAAACTTCTTAGTCATAAATAAACACCTTGAGAGAATGAGTCGCTGGGTCTTGGGGCTCAAGATCTAGTCTCAGAGATATCAAGATCAACTACCATAATAGTCTACAAAGACAATGTTCTATATCCAACTTTAGTGAGTCATCTAAGGTGGCCTTTTGAGGTGCAACTATTGGTCTCTCTTTGTCCAGAGCAAAGAAGAGTGAAGAAAAAGATGCAGGAAAACAATTAATCCAAAGGACTAATGGAGTAGCCTCCACAGCTCTGAGACTAGATGAATTAGACCACTCTGAAAAGAATCACAATAGGAGGTCTTATAGAGTGGGAGAATATTGCAGAACAAAACTCAAAATCATAGAAAGACCAGGCTTACTGGTCTGATAGAGACTGATGAAATCCCTAAGACTACGGCCTTTAGATACCTTTAAGCCTGGAACTGAACCCCCCCATAGCTCATCTTTCAGCCAAACAACAGAGGGGTCTATAAGGTGAGCAATAACATCACAGAAGTACTTACTTCTTAGAACAATCAACCATATGAGATCAAAAGGGCAGCATTTGCCCAGGGATAAAGCTCAGAAGGAGAAAGATAAAGTAGAGGGTCAGCAAAAAAAGAGGAAGGCCCTCAAGGAGACTGACTGACTCAGTGACTGCCACAGTGAGCTCAAGTATAGAAGTAACTGTGAGGCTGACACAGGACCAGGCAGTGTTTCATTCTGTTGTACCTAGCTAGAGTCCCTGTGAGGTAAAAACAACTCAACAGCACCTAACAATAAAGCTCAGAAGGCAGGAAGGGATAGCAAAGAAGGATGAATGGAAACAGTATACACAGGCAGAAAGTGGGAAGAGTGCTGTTACATTGTAGGGATTGTAATTAATGTTACAAAACAAAATATGTATCAATTGTTGAAGGGAAAATCTGTTTGCTCTGTAAACCTTCACCCAAATCACAGTAAAAAGTTAAAAGAGCTCGTCGTCCAGCATTCAGGGACCATGCACAGCCCCTAGTCCACCCTTGTTACCTGTACCCCATTCATTGGTGTCCTACTCACCAGCCGGGCAGCAATATTCCTACCAGCCGAGGCCAGGACACGAAATAGTTTCATGGCCGTAGCACAGGGCACTTTGTGTAGACTGAGGATAGGTCCTGCCCCCACGGGGGCCCAGCTGGTAGGCAAGAACTCACGAACGATGGTCTCTATCAGCCGAGGGCACTCCAGGACCTATGGAAGATGGAAGGAAAGGAGAGGTAGGGAGGTTGAGGGTAAAAACCAGGCCCAGCCAGGCTCTTTGCCAGTTCCCTATCCCATTCACTGTCTCACCCTTGTGGCTGACTCTAGGGAATGACGGGCCAGGCGGATAAGCACAGCTAGGATGTCAAGGACGACTATAGGTCCCGGGCAGATCACTTCCAGTATGTAGCGTAGCCGAGGCAACAAGTTGGTGGCCAGTAGCCCCTGGGGACCAGAGAGAAACCCACTGTCAAATGTAGCCAGGCCAAGGGCATTGATGACCCTACCTGCCCAACATGTGCTTGCCCTCTGGGTCACGGGATGGGGGTGGGGGTATGGGAATGAAGCTGGGCTGGGTCAGGCTCACAGCTGTCTCAGGACCTCTACCTTGATGACATCATGTCGGGCCAGGTCAGGTGGGGGCTGGCTTCCTTCCTCAGGGTTCTTCCTTTTCGCCTTTTCTGCTGGAGGCTCTTCATCCTCATCCTCGTCCTCTTTGTCCTCCTGGCTGGGAATCAGAGGGAATACCGACGCTCCATGGTACCAGGAGAAGGTGCTGTCTAGGAGCTCCTGACAGATGAGAGACAGTGAGGGTGGGAAGACGATGGGGCCAGGCCATGAAATGGATGTAGTAGTAGAGAATGGAAACTACCCACAGGGAGCAGAAAGATAAGGCTTCTAGGCTTTTAGGCCTTAGGAGAAGGGGGTGATGCCTGCCATTCTGTTCTCCAGTCAGCCTGGTAAAGTCTTAGCAAGGAGGACATGCCCAGCATGAGTAATAACTCCAATGATCTCCAAGCCCCCTTCCTATCCCTGTTGTACCTCATCTCCAGGAGCCACCAGCAGAGCCCGAAGAGCCTGGGTAGCAGCTGCAATGACCCCATCCACTCTGTCATCCAGGGAGAAGCGTAGCAAGAAGAGGAAACCAGCATCCAAAAGGAGGCGCAAGACGCTGCCCACCAGCTGGCCACCGAACTCACCAGCCTGGGCCTGAGAGCAGGAGGATAATACTTTGTTGACAATGCTTAAGTTGGTCTTTGCTCTGACCTTTCAGTTGCCCACCTGGGACCCTGGATTTGCCCCATTTCCATCTAACCCACAGATAACTAGTGTCTGGTCTAGTGAGTCAGAGTGAAAAGGGAAGGAGGTGGGGAAGTCTAAGGTACATGGAGGGGTGGGCAGGCCCAGGGACCAGCAGTCTACTCACCCTGCTGATGACCTGGGCCAACACTTGCAGTGCTAGTGCTCTCTGTTGGGAAACCTGGCTGCGGGTCAGGTGGAACAGCTCCTGGAGGGAGTACCCTGCTCTCTGGGGCAGAAACAAGAAATCAGAAGAAGCCAGGATGCTGGGGAACACCCCAACAAATACCCCACAGCCCCTACATGCCAGACACTGTTAGGTGTCCACAGAGAGAAAAAGGTAAGTTAGTGATCCCTCCTGCCCCTGCTTTCCATGGAGCCATAGCTGGTAAAGAAGGTGGGACTCACACACAAGTAACCATGGCATTAGGCAGATGGAGAAGAATGTAATAATCATTGTGTAACATAATTTTCAACCAGAGAATAGGAGAGAGAAGGGGATCTGGAAAAATGGCACGGTCTCTGTGAAAGGGTAGAACTTCAATGACCAGGCATGAAGCTAAGGGTAAAGGCAGTCCCAGGAGAGGCTTCAGGAACTGAGCCCTGGAGGTATACAGAGGAAAAAGCCAGCAGAATGGTGGAGTAAGAGTGAGGGAGGCAGAGCTGTAGGCTCAGCAGGGACTGACTGTGGAAGGACTTCCTTGTCAGGCTGAGAAGCCAGGGTCATATTCTGTGAGCAGAAGTAAGCCAAGCTTTCCCAGGCAAGGTGTGGTCTGAGCTGGGCCACAGGAAATCAGCATGTCAGACCATGAGGCATGAAAAGGGAGAGACGGTGACTGAGCAGAGAAGAGGGAGCACTGTTCTGATCCAAGAAGCATCATACATAGGTAACAGACAGAACTGGCAAGTTCTGGCAACTAATTAGGATGTGAGGGAAAGAAAAGAAAGATTTTGAGCCTAAGAAAATGAATGGACAACAAGACCATGAACTGGAACAAGGACACAGGAGCTTTAAGGCATCTGGCCAGAAGTCCTTTTCCACATGGTTGTTAAAAACACTTGCCAAGAGTTTCCCTGTCCCTGGACCCCAGGCCTCACCTCTGCCTCCTCTCCATGGTGGTGTAGACCCAGGTGGGTAGGCAGGTCCACATCGGGGGCCAGTAACTCTCCCTGAAGACTAAATCGGGCCTGCATCCTCTAAGGGGAAGAAGAAGAAGACAGTGGGCTGGGAGCCATAGCAACTTCCCCACACTCACACTGTTCACATTTAATGCCAGGCATTTCAGAGCTCAGGTGCCGAATCTACTTCTATTTGGAAATTGGGCACCTCTAGCCTTGGGGACCAGGCGGGTGATGGGAAAGCAGGGCGAGGGCAAAGGAGTAATGTCTCTTAGGCTCAGAGGAAGAGAAGGGCCTAAGTTCTGGGTGCAGGTGCAGGAACAGCAGCCCCATCCCACCCCACCCCTTTTAGACAATCTGCCGTCCTCACCTCCTGCATCTGCTGTTGCCGGAGTGGAGGTAGGTCTTGGGTCCAATGGAGCTTCTCCAGCTCAACAGTGTCCATGTGCAGCCATTCTTTGTGGGGGGTTATGGGCAGTGCTGGAGCTGGAGAGAGCATGGTAGTATTCCCTGGGGGCCCAGATCACTGGTCTACAGGGGTCCTAGCCATCACCCAGCAGCTGCCACATCCATCTCTGCCCCAAGGGCCTGGCCCCTCTACCTTTGTTTATGGCTAAATGACATGGCCCAGGGGCTGGAACTCCAGGGAACTGGGCAAATGTCTCAGATATGTTAGAATACACCCAGTCCTGGGCTCAAGCCCCTTGCAGAACCCAAGGATTTTTTGGGAATAACAGGGAAAAGAGGAAGAGAAAAGGAAGGACAGAGGAAACACGGAGGACCACACACACATAAGTGGGAAAATGTAGCTCCCCTCTCTAGTACCAACCCTCTAAAATTGCAGAACAGTAGAGTGGGGACAGTGAGGAGGGCAGCTATACTGCCCCAGGGGAGCAGGATGCAGAAACACACACCCATACCACCTTCCTTCCTCATCCCTACCTCTATCCCTACCACCAGCTCAGTGGGCCTGGAGCTCCTCTGGGGGCAGGAAGTTCCTGGCTCTCATAATTCAATTTCTTCTTTTATTAATCACTAATAAAATAACCCACTTCCTGGGAAATGAATGCTCCCATTGGCCTCTCTCCTTCTGGTCTGGCATGTTCATACAGACCTGTGACAGACTCTTCCTCTCCCATTACCCTGGCCCTGGAAGCACAGGCAGAAAGAACTGTGGATGGATGGAGTCAGGCCACAACAGCTATAGCAAAGGCAGGGAGATGGTCTGCTGGGGGAGGAGGGCCATTCAGCCATGACACCCTGCCACCTCTCACCAGGGAAGGGGGAGAAGGAACAATAACAGGACAAGGAAACAGGAAGCATATGCAGGAATAAGATATGCATTAACAAATGAAGACCGATTTGAAGCCAACAATGAGGGTTAATGCTAGATGTCCAAGGACAGACAAGTTTCTCTCCTCTCATTTGCCAGGCCTAAGAGAAAGGACACTTTCCTCTACTGTTATCCCCCAAAAGATGTTCCCATCTCCCCCAAACCTGGGGTTCCTGGCTCCAGCTCATCTTTCTTCCCAGGCTCACTGGCAGAAATTGGCATGATGGGCTCCTCCTTGATGACCTCAGTAGAAGGTCCCTGTGGCCTCTGCCCCTCGGTGGCCTTCTCTCCTGCTTGCTCATGGGTGTGGCTATGAGATCTCAAGAAGGCAACCAAGGTGGGATCTAGAGGCGAGGGCAGAGAGGAAAGCGAGCGAATGAGTACAGATCCTCCCCAACCTGCTACACATCTAAAACCTGCTGCATACTTACTGCGATGGGTACCAAGGGCAGGACAAGCTGCTTCCCAGCCTTGGCTGAGCTTCCTGGGCTCTCCTGTGGGTCCCTTCAATGACCCTGCCTTCTCATACTTGGATCACTAGGGCCTGCCTGCTCACCTTTTCCTCCACCCCTCACAGTTCCCCGGTCCAACTGCCTACGATTATGCTTGTGCTTAGTCCCAGGTCAGAAGTCCAAAGCAAGCAGCTGTGGAATAAATGGATGAATGCTGACTAGGGCCAAAGAGAAGACATTTAAGTGAACAACTTCCCTCACTTTATCCCAGCTAATTTATTTATTTACAAATATTACTAAATATCTATGATATGCCAGATTCTATATAGGTGCTAGGAGCCCTGATAGCATAGTAGTTAAGCACTCGGCTGCTAAATGAAAAGTGGACAGCTCGAACCCACCAGCCACTCCATAAGAGAAAGAGGAGGTAGTCTGCCTTCTTAAAGATTTACAACCTTGGAAACCCTATGGGGCATAGCGATAAGGTTGCTATGTGTCAGCTAACTTGATGGCAATGGATTTGGTTTTGGGGATATAGCTGCTAGACACACAGTAGGGAATAAGCTTGTCTTGATGCTTACCCTCTCAGCAAGCAGAAACTAAGAAAGAAGTATAAGTATACCAGTTACCAGTTGCAGTCAAGTTGATCCTGATTCATGATAATTCCATTTGTATCAGAGTAAAACTGTGCTCCACAGGATTTTCAATGGCTGATTTTTTCAAAGTAGATCACCAGGCGTTTTTTCTGAGGTGCCTCTAGATAGACTCAACCTTCTAACCTTTCCATTAGCAGCTGAGCGTGTTAACCATTTGTACCACCCAGGGACTGAGTATACATAGTGTAGTATAGTGTGATACAATATATTGTACCACAGCACAATACACAGTGTTATACTATGTTGTAGTACTAACACATACACAGTATACCCACTCCTCACTTACCAACAGGGATAGATTCCAAAGACCAGGTTGTTATGTGAAAATAGGCATTATACAGAAACAGAGCATTTTTTTCTTGTCTGTTTTTAGAGTATCTATTTGTCTTAAATTTTTTTTTTTTTTTAGAAAATATGATCATAGTAATAAGCAGCTAAGATTTACTGATATGTTCATCACTGTGATGAGTCCAGTTATTTCTCCACAGAGGAGGGTTGGAAGAGGCAAAACTGAATAAATCTGGGCTGTGTAACTGGAGAGCCACGGCTCAACCTCTTCACCTTCCTCCTGAGCTGGGTCAGAGCTTTTCTCTTAGAGCTGCCTCAAAGATCCACCCCCGCATGCAAACCCTGCACTCATGGTCCTGGAGCCTGATCTGCCACCGGGTCCTGGGGAGCTGCAGGGATTCCTGTGAGGGTGCTAGGTGCCTGGTCACGCACCTGGCCCCACTGAGGCACAGGCTTCTGGCCCAAGTTGGCTCACTCTGGAATGTCATTATACTCACGTGTATTTCTTCCAAACACCCTCTCAGATGCCTCTCCTTCTTCCCTTTTCACTCTGCAGCAATTTTGAGCTGCAGGGCCTCAGGCCTCAGGGAAGCTAGATCAGGCACACTGGCTTAGTGCTTCCTGCATGTCCTCCTGGAGGCCATGGCCATGGAGGAGGCTGGCCCCTCACACAGCAGTTGTCAAGGCACCCCACCAGCAGAAGGGAGCAAAGGGAGCAGGGCAGCGTGGCCCTGCTTCCCAGAGGCTACCTAGAGACCCTTCTCAAGAGAGGAGATGCTCCACAGACCTGCAGCCATGCCTACCACCTTATTAATGCAAAACATAGTTGGACAGATTTTTTACTGTTGTCGTAAATGTGAAATGTCAGATAAAAGATAGGTGGTAAGTGAAGACTAGGTGTACAATGGTTAAGAGCAGGGCCTACGAACGTCATGAGACAAAGTATATGTGAGCTGCTGTATGAAAAGTGAATTTGCTCTGTAAACTTTTACCCAGATCACAATAAAAATTTGAAAACAAAAGGCCAGGCCCTATGATACTAGATATAGATCTGGTTTAAATCCCATTATTTTTCTTTACTTGTGGTATGACCTAGAGGAAGAGCTTCTTAAACTCTTGAGCCTCAGTTTTCTTTGTAAGTAAAATGAAGTTAATATTACCTACCTTGCAGGACTAGCATGCATATGAATGTACTCAAAATAAAGCTGGTACACAGTAAGCCTTCCTCAATCAGTGGCAGTCCCTTCTTAGCCCAGTCACATACCAAGCTGAGACAGTAAGTGTTGCTGTTCCTGCAGGATCTCCTCAGGAGTCATGGCTTGCAGTCTTGCTACATTCTCCTCATGGATGGTCTGGGCTTCCTGCTCGGCCTCCTTGCCCATGAGCCCCTTCCCTGTGACCAGATGGGGTCCCTGGAAGCTGTGGCTGCTCTCCAGAAGCTGGCAGCCCTGGTCCCTAGGAGTATGTCCCTCACACGTCATAGCACCTGGAAAAGTATATGATTAGTCTCATGGCTCTAAGTCCTCTGGCCTGCTTCTTTAACCTCATTAGACCTGGATGGACATAGGTCTAGGCCCCACAACTGTCCTAGGTAGAATAGAGATCCTAAGGGCTGCTGTAGGTCTCCAGACACTCTAGGGTGGGATGGGGACAGGCCTCTCCATTCACTCTTTCATTAGGCCTTATGTGAGGTTTTCCTCAGAAAAATCTTAGTTTTTAACTCTTCTCCCAGATGTCTAGGTAGCTTTCTGCCTCCAATAAACTGTTCCTGGCAATTTTACTAATAATTTGCATCATTAAAGGAATCCTGGCCTATAATTTTGCTTTTGTAGTCTCTGCTAAATACTCTCCCCATTCTCTTAGGGTCCCCATTCTCTTAGAACCTGCCCCGCTTCTAATTCTAAGTGATAGACCCAAGTGTCTTATACTGAGTACCCTAAGTTAGGACACGGGACAATTTTCTCTTAAAATTGCTCAAATATACACTTTCCATTTGAAGCAGAGATGATGTATATTCAAGGATGACTCTAAGATCATGTCTTCTAAAAAGGCTGAAACTCTTCTTCAACCCTAGCTCACCCTCTGGTGGGTCCAAGGTAGACATAACTTCCCCAGCTGGTGTGACTCTGGCTTCAGACACTCTCCTTGCTGTGATCTCTTGGGCAAAGATGCTTCTCTTACCAGATATTGCTGGCTTCCCCTATGGGCCAAAAAGAAAGCCTGGGTTACTGATACTCTTATCCTACTATCTCAACTCCTTTATACCAAGATCTCTAACACAAAGAGATATAAGGGACTCTGATCAATCTTCAGGGGTCACAACCCTGGTCCTTAGGAAAGCAGAGCTCTATGGGAGCACAAGCCTTTAAGGAAGACAGACTTGGGTTTGATTTCTGCCTCTTCTGCTTATTGGATATGCAGCGTTGGACAAGTTATTTAACTCCTTGAGGGCCTCAGTTTTCTCATCTGAAAAATGGAGATAATGATACCTACCTCACAAGGTTGCTGCTACAAGGATTAAATGAGATAATGTTTTTATTTATTTATTTATTTATAAATTTTATTTTAAGAGATTGTTTTACATTCAATGTAACGTGTACATTTGGTTTCATTCCCCATTCGCCATGTCCAACCCTAACCTAGACTCTTCCCCTCCCTACCTTGTAACCTTCCCTGTGTGCCCCTCACATTCATGCACTCCTGTCTGTCCTGCATTTCCTTAGTTTGAATGTTGGTCCTCTGGTGTCCCATGGTCTATTGCTCTAAGCGATGTATTACCATTGAGTGTGTGGGTGTGTCATCCTGGGATGAGTGGTCTGCGTGTACATCTTTTTAACTATTGGGCTGAGAGCCCACCTCTGGGGCTGAGTTTTATTCCAGGGCCACAGTATTGGCAGACTCATCAGGTTTCATCTGACCAGTAATTCTGGTCATTATTGAGTTTTTGGGTTTTGTTCCACGTTTTGAGGTAATGTGTTTAAAGTGCTGAGTATCGTGCTGCTTTATAAATGGGGAGGGCTCATCTTTATTAAGACTATTTACCTGGAGAAGATGCACTTTGAGGCTCACATGACTATCTCTTAAGCACTAGGCTATCCTGGTTACCTGTCTCTCCTGTGAGCGATGGAAAACAGGGGGGAATGCAACACCACTGGACACAGGCAGTTTCACAGCCATTGAACTTGTATCTCGTTCCTGCAGCAACAAAGTACCAAACAGTGAAGATGCAGGGACTTCCCCAGGCTGGATCCTATCCCACTAGGACCAAAGTTCTTCCCTCTGAGGGATCATGAACCCACCTCAATTCTCAGGGCACAGGGATTCTATTTCAGCCCCAACCTAACTGAAGGAGGAAAAGATTTCCCCTTTCTGAGGCACCTTCCACCACCCCACCCAGTATCTCTGGTGCTCCAGGGTGCCTTGCCCCACTCAGCCAGGGTGAGACGCACAATAATCTTAGTCAAGACAGCAGTGATGTGCTCATCATGCCTGTTCAACCTCTCTTCAGCATCCTCATCCTGTGGCGGGGGGTGGCCAGGGCTGGGCCTGGCTCTTTTTGGGGGAACAGGTACCAAAGCTGGGGGCAAATCTGGGAGACCTGAAAAAAACAAACAAACAAAAAAATATGAGGACACTCATCCCTTCCCAGCAAGCAACTCAGGGCTGGTAGGGAACAAAATAAAAAAAAGAGTCATTGTGTGGCCCTGAATCAAGCTGTATAAACTTGGGCAAGAAATACAATCTCTCTGAGCCTTGGTTTCCTCAGTTAAGTTGGGGCTGCAACAGAGGCTATGCAGTGTCTGAAATAATGACAGGGCAGAACTCGGTCACATCAGGAAGAGAGAGGGACCCTGAGGCACCACCCTTTCTCCTGCTCAGCTTCATACCCACAGGTACTCACTGTCCAACATCACCACATCCCGATGATCCTGCTGTGGTGGCTGGTCCAGGTTAGCTTCGCCACCTCTCCTACTTCCTTTCTTGACCAAGCACACCGCTGGGGCTGTACCAGCTGCAAGAAACTGACTCTGGAAGCGTAGCAGGTCCACCTCAGACTCCCCTGGCTTTGGTCTTGATAGCATCTTGCTACTGCAGCTGCCTTCTCGGTGCAATATCCTTTCCAGCAGGGCTTCAGTGTGAGGATTCCCTTTCATTCACCCCTAAAATATGAATAAATATGATGGGCCCACTGCCACTGAACCCTGATTCTTTTTCTTTTTTTAAAATTTGTATTGTGATTTGAGTGAAAGTTTACAAATTAATTTTCCATACAGCAACTCATACACATTTTGTCTTATGACATTGATTGCAATTCCCCACAATGCAACTCCTCTCCCACTTCCTTCCCATAGTTACCTCTTGCCTGTGTCTTTTCCTTCTGTCCTTCTGCCCCCCCTCCCCCGAGCTGTCTCCCTGTGCATACACAGCCCTTCTATTCTCCCATGACTGATCTCTCCAAGCAGTGTATCTACCTAATGTAAATGTTCAGTTCACATGCCTGTCTTTTGTTTGGCTGGATGCCACAGGTGTGGGTCCAATTCCAGACCTGAAGGGCAGCTAGGGGCCACAGTCTCAGGGGTTCTACCAGGCTTTGTCAGACCAGCAAACCTGGTCCCTTTTTTTAATTTTTTTAATTTTGAGTTTTGTTCTACATTGTTCTCCCACTCTATCCAGGATCTCCTACATAGAGCCCCCTCCGAGTGGCTGACAATGTTAAACCATGATTCTCTTTACTGTGTACCAGAAAAGACCCTCCTTTTCCTTAGATCCATGTAAACTCATCCCTCCTCATTCATATACCTTGTTGCCATTCCCTCCCCAACCAGTCTTCTTTGATATAATCATCTAGCAACAATATTTACTGTCCACTTAGGCTATTAACAATCTAATTGTGATATATCTCTCAAAAACAAACAGCAGGGTTCTTGAAGACTTCCGGTAAGATGGAGGAATAGGCAGATAAGCAACAGAGACCCTCTTCAACAAAGAAAAGAAAAACCAATTGACAGAGATACAGAAGAATAATCCTGGAGCCCTGAGCTTTGAAAGGAACAATACAGAAGTAGATTAGGCATCAACTAGTAGAAAAACCTGAACAAAAACAATGAGTACAGAGACGATCGGAGCTTCGGACTGTCAGTGGCCTATCAACTACTCCAACGGTACCAACAGCCTGAATAGTTCCAAGTGGTGCTGGGATCTGATAATTGACCTAAAAAAGATCAGCTCTGGTCACCAAGGGCTGCAGGGACGACTGCACCAGTGGCCTATGACTAGGAAGGGAAACAGCAAGGTGGGAGACAACCTGAGCTGTTCACTTTCTGCTCTCTGGAGAGTACAGCCACTTTGATTGTTTACATGTGGCAGCCATTTTGAATGTTTATAAGCGGTGGCCATTTTGGATATTTAAAGTGACCAAAAATACAGCCATTTTGAATCTTCATGAGTAGCAACCATTTTGGATTTTAAAGTGATAGCATTCTCATTCAGATTCCAGGGACCTAGGAATAGGCTGTTTGCCAAGGTCAGCAGGGATATATGAGAGACTGACAACAGGAAAGGAGACAGGTGGTGAGTGTATAAAGTGCTGCCCACTAGCAAACAGAGGAGCACAGCACAGTACCCTGCTTGAGTAGATAACATACAAACAAAACAGAGAAAACGAAAATCGTGGGCAAGTCACTCCAACACACAATCACCAATTAAATATAAACACAAAACATCACAATGCCTCAGAGACAACAGAGCATCAGAGTTCACACAAAAAAGCAAGATAAAGCAGGAGAAACAAGGGACTAGGATAGGGACCCAAAACACATCCCTGAGGAAGACACCTCATTAAAACTCCCTGATAGGGAATTCAAAAGAATTATATTTAGGTATCTTCAATGAATTGAGAGACAGATCAAGGAAAACACAGAGAAAAACCTAGAACAATTTCAAAAGACAATACAAGAACAAAATGACAAAATAAATGAAAAATTAGAAATGAT